TCACGGGTTCGAATCCCGTTGAAGCCCTGATTTTTTTCAGGCTTCTTCCTTCCAATTGCTTAAATTGGAAGATTAACTGCGATGATCATTCTTCACTTTCAAATTGTTGGACAGCATGCATGCAGAAAATCCCTTCCAGCAAAGAGGTACAAAGATCCCAAAGCAGATTAATTGTACAAAGGTACAATATACATGCATGACTGCAATGCTAAATTCTTCACTGTATCTGCACCCTACGTGAACATGAGTAAGAATTAATCAACTACATTGTATTTCTGAAGACTAAAGGTGGTGGTGGTGGAGGGGAAGGGGTTTTGTGTAAGCTTTCTGCCATCAGTACCAGTTCCCACCCCTTTCAGATTACATTGCCTCTTTTGGGGTTGCAAAATATTAGGTAATGTTGCATAACGTTTGTTTCTTCTGTTTCCTACCACTTTCAAATAATGTGTTTTCCACTTACCCTTGTCCTGCCTTCTGGGCCATCCCCTTTCCATCTGGATTTGGGTCGTATTCTTACACAGGTAGCCCAAGCTCATGCATGATAATTCTTAGTTGTTGGAAGTGTTGATGAATTCTTACTCATGACCACTCATCATCATTTGTGGTCATTCATATTACCATTACATACAATCACAGTTGTTGTATCTGTATCACTAGTTTCTATTTGGTTCACAAGTTGCAATGTAAAATCTGCACATTCTTTAAAGTGGGGTGGAACATTATTAAGTAGCATTAGACAGGCTGAGATGTGTGTTGAAGGTATAGGGGGATTAACATTTTAAACAAAATCATTCTTTACTGTACAAAAATTGGTGTAAGTGAAGGAGACTTAACAATAACTGTCTTGGGTTTGTATTTACAGAAAGACAAGAAGCCAGTTTCAATGCCGGAGATGATTTGCCACTTCACGCTGTTGTTGTTGCTAATAGGAACCCTTTTGCTGCAATGAACATGTTCCGAAACCAGATACTGAAACGTCATCTTCCCAGGCAGATTGTGTGTGTTGACCGACAGTCAGGGTTGGTGGTGAAGGATTTCTTCAAAATGCTGAAAAGGGGAGAGGTTGATGTAAGGAGAGAATTGGATGTAGAGTTCCTGAATGAAGAGGGTATCAATGCAAGTGGGCTAACCAAGGAATACCTCAATCTACTGATGACTGGTATGGCAAATGGGACAGGAGGTCTTGTTTTGTTTGAAGGTGGGTTAGGAAAAGTAGTTTTTAGATTTATTTAATCTTGAAATATCATGGATTTAGAAAGCCCCAGATTTAAACAGTGTATCCAAAGTTTCAGAAATAAGTAATGACAACTTGCATACTCTTATCTATAGAACTGCATTGAAGTGAACTTCCAACACCCTATATCATTTAGGTGCAAGGCAGTAACTATCTCTCTTGTTTTATATAGAGTCTGAATCTGAGTACGAAGGCTCTGCTTTAGTGCCATTTGTTGTAGTTCTACTGATTGCTAGAAGAAGAAAAAGAAAAAAACAATGTTGTTCACTTACTGTAAAATGAAGATTTGAAGTGTTGTTTATATTTCTCGCCTGAAGTATTTTGAACTTTAATATAGCATTTTTTAAAAATTGTCATAAGGTGCACCAGACCACTTACTGCCAATCCACAAAGAAGAGTATCTGCAAAGTGGGTATTTTGGCTATGTTGGAAAAACAATTGTTTTATCAGTTGTACATGGAGGCGTTGGTTTTCTGGGAATGTCCAGGGCTTTGGTACAATACTTGATCACTGGAGAAATAATGGCTGCATTACCTGAACTGACATTGTTGGATGTTCCAGACTTGAATGTTCAGATGTGTTTGGAGGAGGTATGGTTTACTGTATGACCTAATCTGAGACTCCCTATGCCAACAATCAACCCAGTATTCCCATTTTACATGTTTTATTTGAGCTGCCGAGTGTTTTAAACTAAACTTGAGGAGAGTTTTGTGGAATTTGTGCAATATTATTAATACTTGTACATTTCAATTTACTGAAATGAGTTTGCTTGCATGAACACATGTTGTCAAACACTTCTGTTCAACATAACCACACCTCATTTTTAAATATTAACTTTTTGGCCCAAATGTAGTGGACATATAACCATAACTTTATTTTAATTTATGCACAATAATTAACAATATTATGGGCTTACAATATTACTGTCTTCCCAGTTGTCCACATTGTACTCTGTATTTAAATTGTTGACCTACAACAACAACAACCATTTTATTTTGCCAAAAATAAATACAGTGATAAATATAATGACCTGCATCATATTAAAGCATTCCCCAACTGTGACTGTTTATACAGGCTTAACTGTTATGTATATCATTCATTATTACTATACTTAATACTGCTGCTGTGCCCTTCCCTTTTTGTCCATGCAGCAATGGGTGGTCCATTTAAATCCCTTTGTATTCATATGAAAGAAACCAGACTTGGATTTTGGATTACCCAAGAGTGCATATGCAAATAATTATTCATTTCAAAATGTTAGCAGGCTAACTGTTTTGTTTCATTTTCAATCCTTAGCTAGAAAGTGCTCCTGATGACATGAGCCTGCAGAATCAGCAAGGGAGGGATGACATCCAACTTTTACTGACTCAAGCGGGTTTTGTTAATGAGTTTTTAACAATGACCAGCAAAGCGAGAGCAGTACAATATGTATTACTCCACCAGGTGTTTAAGGCCAGACGGGATGAAATAGATGCCATAAGGATGGGTATGGATTCCATAACCCTGACAGATTTTCTCTTAACAAGTCAATCCTGTATTCCTCTGGTCTTCCCTTTGGCAAAAGATGTGGTTTACACAGTAGAAGATGTTTTGAAATGCATCAAATTAGATAGGGCAACCTTGTCTGTGAAGCATATTGAAGTAGCTGAATGGTTCCAACAATATATAGAGGACCTTGAGTCTGGTAAGTATTGTGTGCAATTTATCATTAATTTCAACCCGTTTTAGAACTGAGGCAGATTCTGCAAATCATCAAAGCTGCGACAGCGATAAACTTTGGAGGTCGCAGCATGTGAGAATCAAATCATCCTTCATCTCACATTTTCATTTATCCAAACTTCAAAAAACTATAATTGACTTAATGGCAAATTTAAAAGACTCACCACAATTATGTAAAAATGTAAAAGTTATGACAAAACTCACCAAATCACAATTTAAAAAGAGGCCTCTCAAAGTGTGGTTGCCATGGTAATATCAAATTTCATGAATGATGAGATGTCATACCAAATACTTGTTGCCTTCAGTGTACTTGTAGCTTTTATGAAAAGTGAAAAAGTTTGATGGCTTTTACTGGTGTGCAGTCACTTGCCACTTTTCTGGGAAATAGGATAAGATGTATGTGTGTGTTGTGGTGGTGGGGGGGGGGGGGAGAGAGGGGGGTAAAAACCTTAGGTTCTCTAGGTACATTCCTTCGCAAGTAAGAAGCAGAACTGCTGGCTGAAAACTGCCAGCCAGCACATTTTGTAGGGGCTGCACTGCATATTACTGACAAAACTCTCTTTTATTTTTGTTTCATTTCAGAGCCACAGGCCACTGTCAACTCCACTAGGTATGGGTCAGAGTTGTCACCCTCACCAACCCTGAAACAGCTGATTCAGTTTATATTTGGCGACCCTATTCTCCCCAGAAATACCAACATCAAGATTGGTTTTCGAGCTAACCGTTTACCTGATGCAGACGCGTGCTTTGGAATTGTTCACTTACCACTGCAACATGAGGAATACAGATCATTTAGGGCATCAATGAATACATGCATCAACTGCCAATATGTTGGTTATGGCAGAGGCTAAAAACATCCATTAATGACATGTTGTAGATTTGTTCCAGTTCCAGTTTGAAAACATTGTTATGTAAAGCTGCATAATTTTACACTGAGTAATGTCAATATCACTGCTCATGAAATGATGTGGCCTTCAAGTTATAATTCTTCTTTGTTACTAGAGACCCAGATTTCTGGTCTTTGCTCTGTCAATGCAGACCAGTGGCTGCTTTTAAGCCCATACAGGCTTTGGTTCATAAACAAATTAAAAAGTTGCGATGAATGTTTATATTGCCTTTTGCATTTTGATGGACAGCATTTGGCACAAATAATATTGTGTACTTTGCTACTGATTTTATATTAGTGTTAATACCAAAATGTATGATGTTTGGTAATGAACAATAAATAAATCAATGATTGTTGTGTTCGACTAACTTTCTTGTTTTAGTTATTACAGTTGTTTTATACTGGGCACAGTTGTGGAAAATAATATCATTGTTACGTTTAATTCTTTTCCCCAACAATTACATTGTAAACTGTAGACAGTCCAAACCTCTTACTTAAAATTATCAGTGAAAAAACCTTTAAGTAGCTGGGTTAAAATGAAAAGGTTGACATCATGTCATTGAAAAGATAAACTTGCAGGGGTTGCAAGGTGAAGTGAAGACCCTTCCTTGGGAGGGATCCAGTAACAGGCCCATTAGCTATAATCAGTTTGCAGAATTTGAAGTACCAACTGGTAAGCTAGAATACCATCCAGATCTTGTGTGCCATCCAAATGAGACAAAACTTGCTGAACTTCTTGTAAGGATCTCTCACTTGGTTGAAAGGCATTTTCTGGAACCTGGACATTGTTATTTGTTTGTAAACGTGGTACAGGGCCATCTTCATCAACACCATGTTGAGCAAAATTAGTGCCTCCCAGTACGTCTTGAACAGCTGAGTAGCCGCTATTCCTCATTTCCACCATACCACTGATCCAAAGTTGCCGTGGACTCACATTACATTCAGATGTCACAGGATGATGGTTCCAAGAGGATGTTAACTCTTGTAATGAACTGTTAATTAGTGGAATGTAAACCAGGTGCAAGCAGCAAAGATGGATTTCATTTAATGGATTAAACAAACCATTGACTTCTAGGAATGAGAAAATGTTTACAAAACGACTGCAGACTATTCGATTAACTTCCCGCCACAAACGTTCAATACGTTGGTTATGAACAGAGGTCCCAGTTATAATACTCCCTCTGTTTAAACCACGCCTCTCAAGCATAACTCTTGCCACATCTACATTTTCCATCCCAAAATCTGTCCTAACACGAGATGGAAGGTTGTACCGTTCTACTGCCTCAAGAAATACCTGAAGCACTGTTTCAGCTCTGTTGTTTGAAGAAGCCTTGAGGAAAACTATCAAACGCGAGTAACCATCAATTGCACCGTGAATAACGATTCTGTAGGGTTCAATAAGTTTGTGATTACCATCCAAGTGCCTGTAGGTTGAAATAGATAGATAAATAGGCTGACAGACAGACAGATAGAGTGGTTTTACTTAACCCATGAAAAAGCAACTTAACTTTTAGATAGTATTACACACTAATTCCATTGTTTTCTTTTGTTTAGTTTTGACTATTACACACTAATTCTAACCTGTTGATTCACGGATTAACTAAAACCACTCTAAAGATTAAAACAGTTACATCATTATCATGATTGTATTCAAGAAAGTAAATGGCATTCTCTTTGGAAACAAAAGGGAGACCCAGGAATTAAATGAACTACAGTGGTCTTCATGAAGGGTTTGTCAGGCTTATTTTGTTTTGCACCATCAGGGAAAAAATTAACTTGAGGTCTTGCTCCCAAAACAAGATTTTGTGATCCTTTAGGGCCCCCACCCCCCCCCCCCCCCCCTCCCCCGCCCCAAACAGACAACAAAAACATACAACAAAACACTTTGCCAGGTTTCCTAGCCAATTTCCTCTATTTACTATGGTGTCAG